GTCCCTTATGCAGTTTAAAGTAAGATCTGGAAGGCAGAATAATAAACATAAGGGAAAGCATTGAATAAATGGTTCTTACATATGAGAGTATATCTCTAAGCTTTTCGAAGCAGGCTTCTTGACCAGGGTAAGGATGACCCTGTACAGGTACGGGAGTGACAGAGAACGAGTCCGCAGAGCAAATTTCTAGCCTGGCCCGGAATCTCTCGAGGGGAGGAGACGATGACTCGGGCTTGTGAAGCGGGTTGGGCGGAGAAATTGGATCAGGTTTGTGAAAAACGGCATTAGATGGAGTGGATTCGGACGAGGGTTTTTGACATTTCAGAAGCTTCCAAGATTCTTGATTGGTTTTGCGCTTCGCTAGGGCCGCTAGCCGGTTTCTCTGTTCTGCAACTTGGAGCTTGGATGGTAGAAATGGCTAGACAACAGGGTCAACAATGGCGGAGAAGAATTTGAAAGGAGCATAGGCGGGATGTTATAGAAAAAAGATTTGGTAGCGTAGGACAACCAAATGGAAGTATGGCATTTCAGACTCAAATCATACGGTAGTGCAGTCGCGAATTCAAAATTAGAGATAAATGGGGTATTGACTTTTGAGGGTCCAATATTAGTTTTATTAGTTTGATAGAATATTAAACTTGTAGCACTGCGATGATGAACGGGCTGTTAATTTACATATAATTAGTCTATCTTTATAATAATGAAAAAAGAAAACCCCCTAAATAGGAGTAAAACATGAGTTATATCCTCAAAGTAAGAGTTCAAACTTAAACTCCTCTAAATAAGAGTAATTAATAATTTCTATTACTTAAATATTAGAAGTATTCATGGGCCATTCATTTTTTTCGTCATTAGATCACCACTGTCATATGTGATATAATCAACACGATTTGTAGTTTGGCCTTTTTTTTGCAGGAGCTAATTACTGTGTGTGCAATGATGGGGTGAGTCATGAGTGATCCCAGCTACAGAAGAACATAGATTATGCTTGTGGTAACAGAGCAGATTGCAGGGCTATCAACCAAAATGGACTTTGTACCGTCAAAGCTCACTGCAACTATGCAGTGAATAGCTATTACCAAATCTTTGACTGGCACACCAAAGTAGTAGGATTTGGTTTGGTATTATGTCATTGTGTAACATTGTGACATTATAAATGAGCATATGTGGCATTATACATGGGCATTTATGGTATTAAATATTGTCATATGTGACATTACATGGTGCCATGTTTGACATTATTATGTCTTTCTTTGACACTGTATTGACTGTTAATGTAACACTGTGGCGACGATGGTGCAAATTGTGATGGTATTATTGTTGATAATGGTTTAGAGCAGTGATCTCATCGGTGGTGCAAAATTTCGAAAATAAATATTATCATGGGAATGTGGTGACTCTAATTAGTCTCATCTCTCCCTGCTTCCTCTCCCCACAGCCACCCCACCATGCTGTTTTTTCTTTCACTTTTTGTCTAATTTGAACATTAAAAAAAGGAACCCCTTTGATTATTTAATTAAGAAATATTTTAGGAATATATTGTGTGTTAGCACTGTGCGGTATGCATATTCATTATTCACTCATTAATAATGAACACAATAGTAAATGAGAATGATGTGCGCAAGGGGGTTTTCTTTTGTGTTCATTATCACAATATGTTGAACAAAAAATTACGGACGTGAAAATGATGTGCGCTAAGGGCCGGCCATTAACTTATATTTTGAAGATCTAATCTTTCAACTCCTATTTTGGAGATTTTATCTTTCAACTCCTATTTTGAAGTTTAATCAATGTTTTACTCCTATTTTGGTCTATAACTCTAATGAAAACGGTTACAAAATCTGAAAAATTACATAACGATTTCCCAAAAAGGGAATTCTATACAATAATGACAAAAGGCGATATGAAGTGATAAAAATTTTGGAACACTACTTTATAAACTATATCTGTAGATAATGATACATTGCTAATATTTATCGTTCTAAATTTAGGATTTCATAACAATAAACTAACATTCGACTTTGGGCATATTTAAAGGGAGGGTAAAAATTATGTTGACTTTTCAAAAATGCCTTACTTTTTATGGGGGTAGCGATGAATAAGAAGATAAAGGGGGAGGAGTAACTTATTTTAGGGTAGTTTATATATTTTACCTTTAAAAGTTATTATTATAAGAAATAGACAATTTATTCTAGACAGACAAAAAACGAAAAAAATGCAATTTAAAATGAGACGAAGGGAGTATGATGTTTTACTTAAAAAGTTAACAATAAAAATTATGAGATCTAAGGATCAAGATTGCATCAAAATTAGGTGCACCAAAATGGGTTAAAAATGCATCATGTCGAAATGCATCAAAATCCTTT